ACTTATTCACACTCCTTTTTATTCCCTTACTTTCAAACCCTTACTTTTTACATAAACACACATCATATAAAATTAAAATTACAATGAGGAAGTGATCGGACACCCAAGGTTGCTGACCTCCATAATTTTCATCATTTCTTTTCGCTATCTCTTGCACGCACCAGGCGCATTCATTCCCAGTATTAATGATTCGCCTTCAACATACACAGGAGTAATTAAAATAATCTTCCCTAAGGTTATTTTAATTTTAATTTTAGTTGGTATATGTTTATGAAAGATGTAAGGAATTAAAAAAAGGAAAATGTGAATAAAATAAGATTAAAATCTGAATAGGAATGTTTCGGTCCATCAGGTCGCATATATTCCTGTTAAGTTTCAAGTTATGTTAAGTTTCATCTCCCCTAACTGTTCCATTATCTGGGCCTGACGCTGTTCTTAAAGTAGGTAGTTAGTTCTCCAATTGCTCTGAAACATTCTCAGTGATTCCGTCCCCCTTCTTGGCTCTTAACTGCTCAAAACCATTCGCTGTCATTAAGGAGGATACCCCTGCACTGCTGTCTATTAGGTGAGCGTGTGGTTATGACGCAAAATTTTCGGATATTTGTAAAAATACGCAATTTCTTCCTACCCTGCCAGACCATTGTTAAGCAGATTGCAGCATCCAGGTTGACCCTTGGAAGTGTAGATGGCAAGGTGTGAAGGAGTTTAGAAGAATCTGCGATATCCGGAAAGTAAGGCGAGATTTCTATTGCTACTGTTTCTGATCCAGGGTGCAAATAAGGGAGAGATTTCAGCAAAATCCGAAAAATAAGGCGATTTTTCCTTATTTTAATCATTTTTGATTTCTTCAAGCACCAACAACCCCCCTCGCCCCAGCTACCTACCAAAGAACGAACGTTTTTAGAACAAGTAAAATACACGTGCTATGGGCAATCCACACTGGTGAGCAATGGGTGCGCAGTGTAAAATATATAGTATATGAATTTTACTGTTGTCCCCCACTGGGCTATACTATTTCTCGTTTCCTCTCGATGCCTCCAATCTCTCCAAATAGTGTACTATTTCCTGTTGGCGTAGCGAGCGGGAGTTGATGAACAACTGTTGCGGCGGTTGCTAAAACTCGGCTTGGCTCGGCCATAATTGTGAGACGCTCTCGTTTCTCTGCTAATGCTATTTCGCGGCGGCGCTTGGCATTTCGCCAGCCTGGTTGGCGTTTTGCCAGCGACTGGTGGGTAGCGTTACCCAGTACTCGGTAACTAGAAGACGTATTTAGGAGTGTTCTCCTCCTCTATCCTCTCCCCAGTTCGTGCCTTCAGAGCGGCATCTGGACAGCTGCTAGTAGTTGCCCTCAACTAAGTTTTGTGGGCAACTACCAAAGAAAAAAATCTCTTCAGAACGTTCCCGCAAGGCTCTACTATTTTAACTTTATGCGAGTAAACAGAGGCACTTGGAAAATAGCCAAAGTTTTGTAACATTTTGCAACAGTAGCCACCTCTTGCTGGCATGGTTCTCAACGACTTCCTCTTTTGAGAATTGCTTAAAAGCAGGCTGATGGCTGGCTAGTTTGAACACCCATGGCTTGGGCCATGTCGTATAATAGATCAAATAATGATTAATAGTTTTTGTTAAAAGTAGGTTAAAGAACAACTGCTATGACACAATACCCCTGTCCCTGGTTCAAAATTTGGATACCTACCCTCTTTAAACTTTCGCTGCCTTAGTAATCTCAGTTCCCCGGAGCCTCACCATCTTTTTTTGTATTATCTTTTTAATATTCTGCCTATTAATAAATATGTATATAGGACTAGGTATATTACACACATACACATTCTTACAGACGGGGCATAAGACTAGTCTAAAAGTGTAACTGTTAGGGTCGCGTTAGCCAGTGATATTTTTACCATGGGATGAATGGACACGGATTTTTGGAGGGGCCGTTTATCCACTTGTACGGATGGTCAGCTTCTCTTAATCCTTTCTTCAGGTGCATTTTTTTTGCAGCTATGCAAAGCGATGAACGAGAAACACCGAAAATCCCGGAGGAGCCAAAAAAATGTCCCTCGTTCACGGAGATTCCGGTGGGCACGACGTTCCAACCGCAACAGATCACCATCCCCACGAAGCACGCCACTCATCCGATCCGAATCGAATACCTCAATTCGCAGTTTCTCGTTTTTGACGCTGCTGGTAAGGGTATTTTTGTGTTTATCAGATGTCTGAAATCATAATTCGCTTCTTACTTTTACTGCTAAATTTCGTTGTTTTATCTCAAATACGTGATTTTTAGCTTGAATTGCTTCATTGGAAATAGTTTGAGCACCGCACAGAAAATTTAAATTGTTTTCTTTTTGTTTGTTTTCTTGTATTTTTAGTCATTGCAGACTAATATTTCACATAATGATTTATGGCTTTTTGTTAAAAATTGCGTAAGGAGCCATTGCATTATTATGAAGCAACACTTGGTTCAATCTTTGGACACCCTACGCCGTTTAGAGTTATGCACTCCTAGTAAGCTGTGACCATTGGGATATAAAAACACTCCTCCTCTCCATCTCCGGGCATCCAGAGTCGCAGTTTTTGCCACACCATCTTGTTCTGGGAGTCGAAACTCTCCAGAGCATCGCAATCCTTTTTTTTTATGATTTCCCATATTTCCCTTTACGTTGTATAACCTTGGTTTCTGTATACAATTATA